TTGCTGAGCACCAAGTCCATCTGCGCTAGCTGCTCCCTTGCCTCCCGCAGCTCATCCGTGAGAGCGTCAAAGCGCTCCTGGTCAAACTTCGACTTGGCCATCTGCTTTCGAAGGCGTCGAGTGTAGACGTAGTGGTAGATATTCTCGTACTCGTATTCCTGGTTTGTGAGACTCCACCAGGCGTATCCGATAATGGAGACGCCGAAGCCCGTGAAGTATGTCACTGGTTCCATGATATCCCACGAAAAGTGGATAAAGGACAGCCAGAAGTAGAGACCGAAGGCTCCAACAAGCGAAGTGGACAGTCCGTAGGCAATCACGTTGGCTTGTCGCGTCGCAGTTGCCTCCAGTTCATGGCGTAGGTTCACTAGCGCCACATGCTCTGGTTCTAGTGCCTGTATTTTGGCAAGAAGTGTCTCCCGCTGCTGCTGAAAGAGTTGCGATGACAGCGGCGACAGTCCAATCGACTCCAAGTACGAGTCGAGGATACTGCGTGGCTGTAAGAACACTGAGTGTGTCAAGTCTTCGTCGTCCGACTTGCCAAAGTAAAAGACCACACCAGTCTGGTGGAAAGCTTGCAGAACTTCGGGTGCTTGTTTCTTGGGGATGCCTCTCTCTTGACACATGTGCATGAACTCTGGGTGGCTGATCTTCCACTTACCAAGTCGTTCCAGGTCGCTGCGTAGCATGATAATGGCAGCCTTCTGCGCGACAGAGCGCACGTCCAGGTCGCCGTCATCTGCCAGACTCCGGTACGCGCTGCCCGTGAATACTGGAGCTCGCACTGGAAGCACTTGGTCGTTCAGCAGGAGCTCAAAGTCGTCTGTTAGCACCTTTTGCAGCGTATCTTCAGGCTGGAACTCCTCTCCTCGAGCGGAACGAATAGATACACTCTGCACGGACTTGTCCTCGGCTTCAATCTGAGCGATGATGTCCGCCACAGTGGTCTCTGCGGGTCAAAAGTTAGTAATCCCTACTTCATTAAAGAGAATAATATAAAATTGATAGCTAGCTATACCTGGAGGAATGCTGAAGACGCGCTCTTCGTCGAATCCGCTGAGAGGAAGCGGAACTGCCAATGTGCACGTCCCATCGTGATATTTGAGCTCGATGGCGCGCGCCTTCCCGTACCGCAGTGGGACCGTGCTGGCGATGGATCGCGCGAGAGTCAAATTCGTCGGGGAGAGACGTCCACGCGAAAGCAAGCGGCCCGATGCCACGCTGGAGAGGAGACCACGACGCCACATCAGAATTAGGAGGAAGGATACTGAGCTGCGGTCGATGCTATGCTTCGGTAACAACCTCCAGGCTATCGACTAATCGTTGGATTGTTAATTGTGTACTTAACACTAAACAAAGCCGGGTGCTTCCAAAACCCATTTACAGTACATGTTAAAACGGTATAATAAGTTTAATCGGTAATTTAAAATAAATTACAAATCGTTTAGGCCGTGTTCGCGACCCCTCGAAAACGTAGTTATCTCGGTCGAAACGACGTTTGGGACTAAGTGCGCGCTCGCGAACACGCCACCCTCGAAACGCAGTATTGGTCGCGTAACGTCGTTTCGGACCCCATTCTCAAATTCATGCCCGGAGGTGAATTTTGTTTGGCCCGTATTTGGCTGGGGCCTAAAGCGACGCGTATCCCCTCAGCACACTGACAAGATCCTGTTAGGCGCCAAAGTTTGCCATTTTTGCTTTCGCGTGCACTGCAAAATCCTCCCCCAAACGACCCGAAGGTGCTCTCGATGAGCACACGAGACGATGCTGCTGCTGCCCAGCGTGCAACGTGGACTAGGGGCGAGGAGCTTGCACTGTTGGAGAGGTACTTTGAGGCACGAAAGGACCCGTCAAAGGCCACGGATAAAGGTGTCAAATCCAAGGCGTGGGAGGAGATCAAAACCACTTTGAACACCAAGCTCAAGAAGACTCTGGACAAAGGTATAGGAAGCTTTTTAGCTAAGGTACTGCGTTTCTAATTTTCGTTCAACAGGGCAATACAAGTCCAAGGTGCAGCGTCTGATACAAGACTACGATTTATTCAAGGAGATTACGTCGCTGAGTGGATGCGGTACCTGCCCTCAAACGGGGAAACCTCTTCTTGATGACGACGTCTGGGATAAACTGATCGACGCCAAACCAACCAAGCTGCGAGGTCGCATCAAGGAGATGCGTAAGAACGGCTTTGAGCACGAGACCATCTGCAGTCTAATTGCAGGTAAGCGATGCATTATTTTCACTGAATTTAAACTAAACTCGTCTGAGCAGGTGATTAAAGAGCGACAGGTGCGGATGCGGAAAGCGTTCAGAGCCTGCTTGGCCTGCTGGAAGACGCCACGGAAAAAGAAGAGTCTGCATTACCGCAGCTTAATGAGGTTTTACTTCCCGACAGTGGCGAGCAAAGCTCTGTGACCACCATCGCTGCCGCGCAAGACCTCCACTTAAGTCACGAGCGTCGTGTGCAGACCGTAAAGCGTATCCGTGATGGAGCTTCAAAGACGCGCCGCAACAAAAACCGAAAGCAGTCACCTTCTGGAGACTTCAACGAGGAACTTGGTGCGCTGTTAAAGACTTTTACCGTCTACATAAAGTACAAAATGCGCCAAGAAATGGGTGACCAAGCCCCACAGTCCGACTCCGCAGCTTTTGCTGCATCGCCTTCGTCGAACGACTGAGCTCGAGATGGCGTATGATGGCACGGGCTAATAACAGGCCAAGGTAACGTGCACGGATGACCAACATGATAGTTTCATTTTCATCGTTCTCTTCAGGAACTTAAGTAACGTAAAGATGATTTTTTCATGCTTATTACTCGCTTACAGAACCACTTTCACTGCCGGAACTGCTTTCGTTGTCAGAATCACTCGTACCGCTTGAAATTTCATCTTCGGGTATGTCGCTGTCATCTTCATTACCCGAGAAGCCTTGATACTCCTCCCACATTGTGCCTGCCATCCAAGATCGCCAATTGTCAGAAGTGTCGAAGTCATACGGAATCGGATCAAAAGTTTCATTTACAGCACGGTGACGACGCGTATCTCGACGAGAAGAGGCGAGATCGGACCCAAGGTCCGATGCATCATACTCACGGATAAAATTGTGCGTTAAAACACAAGCGTAATGACAGATTTTATCGTCTTCATTTCGTAATCCATACATGTGCGGAGGACCTTAAAGCGACGCTTTAAAACTCCAATGGTACGCTCAATAACATTGCGAGCCTTCGCATGTCGTAGGTTAAAAAGTTCCTTTGGGTTGTGTGGGCGACCAACATCACTAGTCGCCCACTCCTTCAGGTGGTATCTTACCCCTCGAAAGGGAGTTAACACCTGTTTACTTAGGCCATATCCAGCATCTCCTAGAACGTAAAAGTGTTCTGGTAATTGGTCGAGCAGAGAACTCCATCGTAGTACAGTCGCATCATGTGCACTTCCCTCAGCTCCCGCATAAGCAAAACAAATTTTCATACTCCAGTTACAAAACAGTAGCACATTGGTCGTGACAAAACCCTTGTGGTTTCTAAAGCGAGCTGTATCCTCAGTGCTTACAACCACTTGAAAGTGCGTTCCATCAATTGCCCCCAAGGCCTGGTGATAATAGGGGTGCTTCAACAAGAAAAACGATGGAGCCTGCTTAGGTATCTCCATCGAGCTGTTTATCGCACGCAAAATCGCTCGAATACCTCGGATTCTATACTTGTGAATCGTAGAAAACGTTAGATCAAATAGTACCTCTTGCATGCGGCATGTAGATGCCGTTCTAATCCAGTGGAGAGCCACCGCCAGTACCTCACGTTGGTTGCGGACGGTGTCGACGATGAACGGTTGGCAGATCTCGAACAATGCGTCAAATGCGGCCACGTCCATCCTGAAGTGATCCCGAAACAGGAAGGAATTTCTTGATGAGTGAATGGCGTCGAAGAGCCGCTGTCCGTCTGCCGTCATCAGACCTAGTACGCGCACCATATTCTCGTGAGCAGCCCGCCTCGACAAGCGGTGGTTTTGCACCAGTCGAGCACACACAACAGCAACAGGAAGATTTCGTCCAGCATTCTTTGTGAAGAGGCAGTCCGTTTGTCCAGGTGTGGGTGGTCAGGGTAAACGCTGGTTGCGTGCGAACAAGAATTGAGCGAAACGACGTTTCACATCGCTGGCCAAATCATCGTCAAAAATAGATTACAGCTCTGAAACGCAGTTTTAGTAAAACGTCGTTTGCCGCGAACACGGCCTTAAATGCGCACCAAAACGGTTGCTGAAATGCGCCCCTTCGGGCATACATGTATATGTAGTCATGTGTTTACCGGTAATCACGTTGCTACTTAAAAGTCGGATTAGAATTGTTTTAATGTGCAAGTCACACAGGAATGTTAAGCGATCCGAGCCAAGGACAGCAACGCTTTCGCGTCGGTCGGCAAGCAAGACCAATCGCGAAGCAGTCTGGCCATGAGCACATTCTTTGGCTGGCGTGTCTATGAAAGGCATACACTGAAAGAGGCATGGCAGCATGACCACGGAGACGCCAACAGAGCCGAAAGAGAAGGCAACAGAACGAGAGCCGAAGGTGCGTGCGGCATGATAAAATCCGAGTGGCCGGAATCGAACCAGCGACCAATTGATTTTCGAGAATACTGAAACACAGTATAGAACACTACAGTCAATCGCTCTACCAACTGAGCTACACTCGGTCCTAATCCAACAACCACGCAAAAACAAATAAAAACCTTGCGCACGCTCCTACAT